ACGAGCACACAATTACTCTATCACAGATAATTTCACTTTGACTGACAAGAATGTGTGGTGGTGCGGCAAGTCTGGCATGAGATGGGAAGGGCTTCTTCAAACCATCCAGCTACAAATGCTTCATAATCCACCACCCAAAATCCTAATCATACACCTTGGAGGTAACAACATCCACAATACTAAAATTACAAAACTAATATCAGTCATAAACAAAGACATCAAATATTTAAGAAATACTCTTCTTGACACTCATATCATCTGGTGTGACATCCTACACGACTAAAATGGCGGAACAACCTTTCAGAATCACCCAAACTACTCAACATAAAAAGAAAAAGAATTAATCGTGCTGCTCATCAATTCTCGAGACTTTTAGAAAATACTTCTGTAATATCCCCAAATATACCATGGCATATGTCAGAACTCTTTATGACCGATGGCGTCCATTTGTCTGATATGGGTAATATGGTATACCTTCAAACAATTAAAGTTCACTTAAAAAATGTTACTTAATCATGAAACTGCTAGAATTTGGAGAAAATGTTTCTAAATATCTCAACATTTTGTGGCGTAAATTCTAGGAAATTTTAGTCTTTTGGAGGTCAGCCTATCATTTCTGGTAAACAAACTACAAGTTTCTTGTACTCTATGTAGTTGGAGGTTGATTACTGCACCAAACCAGCACATAGAAACAAGGTCTAATTAACTATGTAGCGTTTACTAGAGTAAAAAATTAGAGTGCTTACTTGCTAAACTCGCTGTAAAATACAGAGGTAGGGTGTTCTGTCCGTACTAATAGTGTGCAGTCACCCGCGTACCCTCTAAATAGCTAGAATAACACATTATCTGGTTGCTAAAATATTGGTTGCTACATACTGGTTGCTATTTGTTGGTTGCATATACACTGGTTTAAAAAATTGTCTCTATTATCTGGTTGCTACATACTGGTTGCTATTTGTTGGTTGCTTTACAATGTTTTCAAAAATCGTCTCTATATGTCGCTAGTAATTAATGGAAAATTACTGATAGGCTTCACTTCCACTGACTAAAATTTTTACATGTTGCGGCCAAAATCATTCCATCCTATAACCAAACTATTGGAATAAATTCAGTAAATGTAAACTTGAGTTTTTGTTGTATTTCAATATATGCTTAGCGTATTGGGTGTTATCTATTTCTTAAAATAAATCTAAATATTGCATTTAACAATATTTGCTGTTTATTTTAGAATGCCTATATTTTGTTATTGTATATAAATACACTCAAGGGAAGTAACTTGTACTGTGTCTTCATATTCAAGGGAAGTTACTTGTACTGGCATAATTCAAATATCAAGGGAGGTAATTTTGAACTTCGACCTTGTATCTGTCTGGCATTATTACCCAAGATGCAATAGCCTATCAGCTTCCTTTTTCCCGCAAAATCTCAAGAGAACCAACCCCCCCACCACCCCCTTTTTAAAAAAAGTAAAGGATTTTTATTTGTTTTAAAGAAATAAAATAATTAAAATTTTTCATCATATACATGTATCACTTTATGTGATTCTGCTGCCGAGTTATCTATATTTCAGAGAATTTCAAGCTGCATGTTCGGTCAATGAGGTCTAACTAAACTTCCTAACAGCAACAAAAAGGTGGCAATAAATCGGATTCTGAACAAGCGGACTTCAAAGATTAGAAATTGAAAACATTCTCCATGTATCACTCCTCAACATACGCAAAGGATAGACTCTAAAAGTTGCAAAAGTTAAATAGTTGCTGTATAAAGACATGAACTTTAAAGTTATATGATACATTATATTTGTAGTCACGACTACCTATTCTGTTTTGTCGCAACTTCTCGTAAATTCTAGGAAATTTTAGTCTTTTGGAGGTCAGCCTATCAGTTCTGGTAAACAAACTACAAGTTTCTTGTACTCTATGTAGTTGGAGGTTGATTACTGCACCAAACCAGCACATAGAAACAAGGTCTAACTATGTAGCGTTTACTAGAGTAAAAAATTAGAGTGCTTACTTGCTAAACTCGCTGTAAAATACAGAGGTAGGGTGTTCTGTCCGTACTAATAGTGTGCAGTCACCCGCGTACCCTCTAAATAGCTAGAATAACACATTATCTGGTTGCTAAAAATATTGGTTGCTACATACTGGTTGCTATTTGTTGGTTGCATATACACTGGTTTAAAAAATTGTCTCTATTATCTGGTTGCTACATACTGGTTGCTATTTGTTGGTTGCTTTACAATGTTTTCAAAAATCGTCTCTATATGTCGCTAGTAATTAATGGAAAATTACTGATAGGCTTCACTTCCACTGACTAAAATTTTTACATGTTGCGGCCAAAATCATTCCATCCTATAACCAAACTATTGGAATAAATTCAGTAAATGTAAACCTGAGTTTTTGTTGTATTTCAATATATGCTTATGTATAGTTTTATACATTTGTATACACTACAGTACCTTAAATATACTTAATCTAATATTCTATAAACAGATCAGTCTATATGAATAGTCCATTCATTGTATCTCATCTAAATATATCATGTACACATAAAATACATCTTTAAATGTATTACATCATATTGTACCTGCATCTAGTGACCACTTATTTACTTATAAAACAATATAAATTATGCTTAACTTAAAAATATACATGTAGGTCCAAAAATATAAACAATGACATATAAATATGATATAACATACCAATTGTGGATCAGACTCTGTAACTTTACCTCTATCACTCACACTGTGATATTATCTCTGTACTGCAATTACTGTAAAATACAAACATCAGTGCATAACAAATAGAAACAGTGATTTCTAGGAATAACTATATAAGATAAGAACAAATGGTGCCATCTTGAATTCTAACACTCAAGAACAATACAAATTTATCAAAATAACTTTTATCAAATCCACAACTGTATTTAATTACTATAAGTCTTCATTTAGTTAACATTAGAACTTTTAAGAACAAATGAATAAAACATACAAATACCAATTCCTCAATCCAAATCCTTATTAATAATATAATTCTAATAATATAATAAGTAAAACCAACACATCTACATGTCACAATGACCACACAAAGAATGACCTCAAGTGACCCTAACTTTAGGAGGGAAACGTTATGGTTGAGCAAATAGCAAATGTGGTCAAGGGGACATAATCACACAAAAAGTTAAGATTAAAATCAAACAAGGCCGACAGAGTTACCTTTCTTGAAAAATAGCAAAAACCTTAAAAATAGCACTTGGTTACACATTTACACATGTCATCATGGAATTTTGACATGTTAGCATGGTATTTGCACAAGTCATCATGATACTTTGACAAGTCAACACTACGTTTTGACATGTCAGCATGATACAAGATAACATGTCATTTGCACAAGTCATCACGATTCTTTGACAAGTTCACAGGTTGTCTTCACAAGTCATCATGGTTATTTGACATGTTAACATGCTGTTTGCACAAGTCATCATGATACTTTGACAAGTTAACATGCTGTTTAAGGGGAGCGGTGGCCTAGTGGTTAAGGTGTCTGCCTCTCAACCCAGAGATCCTGGGTTCGAGCCCTACTCGGGTCACGACCATGTTTCTTCATATGACACCAGTACTGGTTGGTTCCAGGAAGCGGACTCGAAAGTGATTAATATAATTTGAAAGAACTTGTTTCGCAATCGAGCTAAAATAAATATGTTTAAACCAACATGCTGTTTGAACATGTCATCACGATAATTCGACAAGTTAACATGTCGTTTTCACAAGTCATCATTACATTTTGACAAGTTACCATGTTATTTCCACAAGTCATCATTATACTTTGACAAGTTAACATGTTGTTTGCACAAGTCATCACGATACTTCGACAAGTTAGCATGTTGTCTGCACATGTCATCATAATAATTTGACAAGTTGACATGCTGTTTGTACAAGTCAGCATGTTCCTTTGACAAGACATGATGTAAATTGCATCTGTTAACATGCTCAAACGACAAAATAATATTATCGTTTCACAAGATAACAAAAACATTGATTACATAAGACAGTCACGGCGTTCCATAGTATGAAATGACTCATTTTAACAGCGTAAAGATTGCAACTGCGCTGATAAACTTGTTCTGGTAACCAAAACACTTGCTGTTCAAATCGTGACCTTAAGTATCAAGGAAGAAAATGTCAAGGAAAATATGACTTGACAAATCAAATTTCATCTATTCAAACGACATTTTGACATATTGTCCTTGAAACAGAAAACACTTTCAGGGCTTATTTACTTAAAATAATTAAACAATAAAATTTTATTTCCAGTGTCAAGATGTTTTCCTGGTATTTATCTTTATTGTAACATGTAAATAAATTGAAATAAACACTTTAATGTAAATAGAACAAGGAATATATCACATCACATGGATATCATTGTTTTATCAAAACAAGAGACAATTGTTAAGTGTAGTTGATCTGTGCGGCTGTAAATTTGTTATATTTAAAAGGATTGTTTTAAGCATCACACAACAATCTTTTAGGATAGACCTCTCAAGTTAAGTTTTTAACTTTTTAAACATCTATATAAAATTCAGAGCTTTTTAAAAGAAAAAAATGGATAAATATAGAGGAAAGCCAGGAGGGTAGAATCACATTTCTATTTTCTTAAAAAACTTTGAATGTTAAATAAATGTTTAAATGTTTAAAACTTATCCGATTGACCTATGCACATCTGGATCAGCGGAAATTCACATACATGTATATTTTTTTACCGATGCTCAAATTTGAGATCCATATGGGGTTCCATTGTAACACTGCACTGACAAGGAGTTAAAATTTACAATTTCAACTTGGAAGTTGTAGATTAGAATCTTAATAAAATGATTTATATTATATAGTTTGCTAATTGACTACAGTACTATGTTTTGTACATTCAAATAACGTTTGAAAAAAAAATATATTGTACAACTTTACATATTGGATTTATGAATAATAACATATAGATGTATATACCAAAGTTATGAAAACTAAACAAAGACCCCAGAAATTAAGCAATTAAACAAATAATTCATCCACTAATGCTGCATATAATTAAAATAAAGTTAAAGAATTCATATTAAATCTGAAAAAAATGGTTTGTGGAGAATTCGAATTTGCAACTTCAATCGTACTTTACGCAAGGCTATCGATTAGGTATTGTGTACTATGCTATCGTTAAAAATCATTTAATTACGGAAACTAACGAACGTTTATCAATCTTAGGCAATGCAAAGTGCTTATCCAAATGTTCACGAATACGCATGAATGTCATGAATGTAGAACAAACAAGATGTACAGTTATCTCTACTGGTTCCCTTCCCTATAAATGGTTTCATTCAGCGACAAACAGTTAGAAGGGGACCAGTCTTATATACTTTTCCACGATGGAGACAAATGTTAATATTCAATCTATTGACACAACAGGCAATGATGAGTATATTGATAATTACTGTGCTCCGTGTTCAAAAGACGGTAAGTTTAAAGAAGGTTCTAAATTCTGCGAAGATTGTGGAACGTATATTTGTTTACAGTGTGTGGAAGATCATTGTAAATTTTCATCTATGGAATCTCACCAGATTTTGGACGACGCAAATCGTGGATCAGAAAGTAGGATCAAATCCGGAACAGAACTTTGTGACAAACATCATGGGCGTTTTGTTAACAAATACTGCAAGGACCACGATGAAGTTTGCTGTGGGGCATGTGTTTCTGGCAACCATAGGTAAAACAACAATTATTTTTTTACACTATTATCCTGATATGTTTTCTTATTTTCCGATGCTAACTCAGATATAAAGTGTGTAATACCCAGATACCGTGACAGCTGCATGATAGTCTCGACCATTAATGTTTACAATTTCAATTTACGATATTAACATGGATTTTCATTTTCTAATTACTGAGTTTTAACATATTTATTATAGCTCGATTATAAAAAAGTCTGCTTCCTGGATCTACCAATGTATAGCTTATATAGATTGATAAAAAGAAATATGATAATGATCCAAGTCGGTCTCGAACCTAGGACCCCTTGGTCACTGTAATGAGAAGCTGACCGCCGACGAACCACTAGGCAACCTATCTTTTTGAATAATTATTCTAGAATTCATAACCTACATTATATAAGTGTAAGTAGGTACGGTGGCACAAAGGTGACATGTGTGTGTTTTTATTTATCTCGTGCGCACGAGATATTATGCGTGGCCATAAGTTACTAAGTCGTGGCCACGAGATAGCTAAGTCGTGGCCACGAGATACTATGTCGTTACCACGAGTTACTAAGTCGTGGTCATGAGATAGCTAAGTCATGGTCACGAGATACTATGTCGTGTCCACGAGTTACTAAGTCGTGGCCACGCGATACTATGTCGTGGCCACGAGTTACTTAGACGTGGCGTCACTGTGACCCTGATTTTTGACCCAATGACCTCGAAATTATTAGATGTCATCTTCTGATCAGATGCAATGATCTTTCTGGGTTTTATAAACCGTGGCTTATCCCTTCTAAATTACCATCCGACAGGTAAGGATTTTACATGAAGTGTCATGTTTACCTTGACCCTAAACATTGTTATAGGCTATCTACTGTCCATGGACAATGCCCCAATCCAAATAAAATAAACCAGGACATATTCCTTCTCATTTTATCGTATTAACAAGGCTAACAGGCCGAAGTACGTAAAAACTGACCAATTCGATCACAAAATTGTCCCAACAAATTTTATTGTCTGATGGGCATTGGAATGTGACTTTCTAATATGATCCTAAAGACAAGTTCAAAGTGAATATCTTCAGTATTTCAAAGATTATGGTGCATGTAAAAGTAAGTTGTTAAGTTTTAAAAAAAATCATGATATATATAGTGTGTTCTGATTGGTTAATTATCTCGTGCACACAAAATAGTTATCTTGTGGCCACGACTTAGTAACTCGTGACCACGACATAGTATCTCATGCCTACGACTTAATTATCTCGTGACCACGAGTTAGCTATCTCGTGGCCACGACTTAGTAACTTGTGGCCAAGACATAGCATCTCGTGGCCACAACTTACTAACTCGTGGCAACTACATAGTATCTCGTGGCCACGACCTAGCTATCTCGTGGCCACGACTTACTAACTCGTGCGCACGAGATAAATAAAAACACGCACAATTCACCTTTCTGCCACCGTAAGGAAGTCTATATATGAAAAATATCAAACAATAGACAAAGAAAATGAATCATGAATAAAAGATGCCCAAAATTTAATCTAAAATATCATTCACGTCAAAATCTAATCTGGTCTGCCATACTTCTTGACAATATTTCGACCTTTCCGTCAGTCTTCGGATAAGGACCTCGCAAGCGATACATCCTCAATAACCTCGTGAGTGTAATCTTCGATAATGTACAACGAAGTATATACATTGTAGTTATATAGTTGAAATCAAAAGGAAAATTAAGTTTGTTTCAGTTTAATAATGATTAAAAAATTTGATTACTATTTGTTTACATGTCTATAGTTAGACCGAAATACCGCATCCGTTCTGTTTATTCATCGAGGTTCCGAAGACTGACGGAAAGGGCCAAAAATTTGCGATTAAAGGACCTCGAAATACACAGAACGGATACGGTATATATGTAAACAAATAGTAATTAAATGCTTGGACTTGTTGACAAGTTCTTTTCCAATATTTCAAGTAAGTCCAACTATGATATGTGAATTCATAGATACAAGAGCAAACATATTCATAATTATGATTGTAGAAAACGAAAGTTTAAAATGTCAATCTGTTGATATTAAGTCAGAATTTATTTAAAATTGTACACCAGTGGGCATATTTAAATTAAAAAAATGGTTGTCACACATATTTTTATTCATAATTGTACCGAAACAGACTTTATCTTCGTTTGGATTTCAAATATACACCCATGTTTACACTCTCTGTTTCTGTTAACATCTGAAACGTCATGTACTTTTCAATCCGTATTATCTCTGAGGTCATTACAAATAAGGACGTTCCGATTGACTTTTACATTTCGAATCTCTTTTAAGGTCGTGTGTTAATATAATGGAAATAGAAGAGGCTGTGAAAAACGCTGATGCAAAAGAACAAAAAGAAGCTAACGAATGTATAGACAAAGGTACTGAGTCTTAAATCATTGATTTTCCGTACAAGGTTTTATTCTTATAAGTTGTTGAAAATAATTTTTTCAGTCAATTCATTTGACCTTTACATACATTGTATATTGTTATATATGTTTTGTTGTTGTTGATAATTTGCATCATAATTATGATATTCTACAATGTACATACAAATGGAATAAAAAATATCCTTTCTTTTCTTTTTAAAAGTAGTAGCAAAGATTATAGTGGAACAAGATGAAAGAGGGTTGCTTTTATCATCGATCAATCAGGAGGCGTCTGTCATTTTAAAGGACATAGATAAGCACGAGGAAAGTATCATCAAAAGAATTAAAGATCTTGCAGAGGCGTCTCGAAAAGAAGTGGTTTCCAGACATGCTAAATTTGAAAAGCGTGTAAAGGCTGATGTCAAGGAGTTAGAGTCGGTGTTGTCAGTGTCTGAGGAAGTTTCAAAAATGTTAAATAACTCTAACTTGAGTGCTAAACAGGCATTTGTCAATGTCAGAAAAAGTAAAACGGTAGCTACAAGCATTTCAGATACATTGGACGAAATGTCTAAAAGTCGCAGTCTTTCAATTGATTACTGCTTCAACAATGAGCGAATACAAAAGTTTGTGGGTATGAAGTCTCTAGGTTACTTCGAAGAAACTGCAAATATACCGTATAAGGCTAAAAAGCAAGGAATGATAAATGTAAAGTTGGGAAAAGATGGAGACTGCATCATAACTGGTATTTGTTTTCTTGAAAATGAATCCATTGTCATTGCTGACTCGAAAAACAAAAAACTTAAAATGTTGAATGAAAATTATGAGATGAAAAATAATATTGCATTGGCGGGATATCCTTCCTCGTTATGTAATGTAGGGCCACTTGAAGTAGCAGTTGCTTTGAGGAATGAGGGAAAAGTTCAGTTTGTATATTGCGATGGTACATTATCTTTAGGATTTTCATTTAGTACTTCTCAAAGATGTGCAGGACTGTACTTTGACACAAAACATGACGAATTGTATGTTTCCTGTGATAGCTGGGGTCGATTTAGTACATCCAAGGTATGCGTGTTTACAAAAAGAGGTGTTCCCACCAGAACATTTGAAAAAGATGAGACTGGCAATATTTTATTTCTTTACCCCAAGAATATCACTATGGAGCCTATTACAGACACAGTATATATTGCAGATGAACGGAATGGAGTCATTGCTTTAAACAGAAATGGTAAACTTAAGTGGAAATACCAAGACCCTAAAGTACGTGATTTAGCAGGGATATGTATGTTACCGGGAAACCAAGTGCTAGTTACAGGCTGTTCATCCAAAAATTTAGTTCAAGTTGGAGATGACGGAAAGAAAGTACGTGAGCTACTTGGTGCTTCAGAAAAGCTGCCTATTCCATATACTGTGGTCTGTGATAAAAGGAATTCGAAAATTATAGTAGGAGGCGCTTCCAATGAAATACTCATGTATACAATACGGAGGGAGAAACACATCTAATGCATAAGTAAAAGTAATTTTCAAAGTTGATATTTTGAGAACAAACTATGCATACTGTTTGAAAAGGTGTATGAAGCCGTGTATTAACAATTATAATACATGTACAGTGTGTAGATAAAAGATATTGCACAGACCTTAAGAAATTTCTACACAATGTTTTAAGTTGTTGTTGTCTATTGCTTAAATTAAATAATATTGTTTGATTTGTGGTATTTATCATATTTATTTAAACATAATTATGTAACTTATCTAATTGAAATAACGAAAAACTGCAAAAAAACATTGTTTCTGCATCAATGCATTTTATCAAGTGGCGTCGAACCGGGTGATGCTCCCCGAATAAGTTTTGGAAACAGAAGTAGTTTCTCGTTGATATCTCTAATAGTTTCAGAATTATGTCCCGGGCAAAGTTCAAAGCGTAAAAATGAAAACAATGGATAGAACTCCAAAATTAGGGAAGGCAAAGTCACAGTTCTTATGCACTGTACTTCTACTCAATGAGATCTATCTACCTATAAAGTTTCTTGTTGATACCTTTTGTAGTTTCAGAGTCATGTCACGGACATATGGACGGACAAAGCGGCGACTATATGATCTCCTTTCGGGGAGCATAAAGTGAGTTTTAACGTTTAAGGAAAAGCTTACAGTTTATTAGAAAACATCATAATTGTGAAGTATTTGCAAAAGCATCTATATTATTGTCATCGTGTAACTAACCGAAAACCAAATATGAAAATAAGTAGACGTAAATGGTGCCATACTCATATAAATTAATCTCTTTACCCATGGAACAAATCGTTGGTGACAAACATGACACAGATATTTTGGGTTTATTCATTAGCTTCTCACAAAACTGCCAACAATAAAACAATACTCGTGGGCAATGAAAACACAGAGTTGAAAATTGTAGACAAGGTTTTGTTGGGCCTATTCGTTCATTTTTAGCTCGACTATTCGATAAGAATAAGTAGAGCTATTGTAGTCACCCGAGCGTCGGCGTCAGTGTCAGCGTCGGCGTCTGCGTCGGCATAACCACTTATGTTAAAGTTTTTGTAATAGTTTTAATATTTTCAAAGTCCATTGACATATGGCTTTGAAACTTTGCACACTTGTTCACCATCATTACCCCAACCTGTAAACAGGAGGAGGTAACTGTATCAAGCATTTTGACAGAATTATGCCCCTTTTTCGACTTAGAATTTACGTTAAAGTTTTTGTAATAGTTCAAATATTTTCAAAGTCCATTGACATATGGCTTTGAAACTTTGCACACTTGTTCACCATCATTACCCCAACCTGTAAACAGGAGGAGGTAACTGTATCAAGCATTTTGACAGAATTATGCCCCCTTTTCAACTTAGAATTTACGTTAAAGTTTTTGTATTAGTTCAAATATTTTCAAAGCCCATTGACATATGGCTTTGAAACTTTGCAAACTTGTTCACCATCATTACTCCAACCTGTAAACAGGAGGAGGTAACTGTATCAAGCATTTTTTTTACTATCAAGCACTAAGAATAGTCGAGCGTTGCTGTCCTATCGACAGCTCTTGTTATGTCATTCCTGTGGGTTCTGGTATATTACTTTATGGTGTTTCCCTGGCCCAATGTCATTAGTTTAAAGTCCAACGTAAGGAAGAAAATGAAACGCTGTAAGCCGGGTTAAATATTATCATACATGTAAACACATGTACGATATATGCATTAAGACAAGCTGATGTTGATATTCAGATAACGAAGAGATAAAGAATGTGGTACGATCACGTAATGTCACAATATGCTTAAATCTAATAATATATTATCATGCAACACTTCTTTCAAGAATTTGCGACTTTGACAAGATATTGTTATATAATCAAGACATCTTTATTTTATACAATCAAGTTTTTGACATTTGGACAGAAATTGATTTGATATGGAACTTTTGACTGTCTAATTGATGATATATGATACAACAATTATTTAAATTGGGAATCATGGTGCAGATACTTGAAGTTCATCGATTACATTTGTGTTAAGATGAAATCGTAATATTAATTTCCTATTTCATCTGCAAAGTATACAAACAACAAAATAGTCACTATAAAACACTTCTTTTATGTAATAGTGTAACGAAATGGCGACAAAAACACTCCACACTCACGAAGTGAACACTACCACTATGCTTTTACGCTGAATTGATCAAATATAAGTAATTGTTTTGGTGGTTAAATATTTAGGTAATTAATACATGAAGTATGCTTTTAGACACCCATATTTGTCAATATTGATGTAAGGAACAGCGAATTCGAACTGTAAATCCTGTGAAAATAATCATTAAACAAAACAAGAGGCCATGATGACCCTAATATCGGTCATCTGAATAATGTTCATGAGAAGGAACAAATTAATAATATTGTTAACAATAAACGAAAGCAGAACTATAGAATATAGTTTAAAAATTAGATTGATAACACACAGTTCATATATTGTGTAGTGCACGTGTAAAAACATCACTGGTTGCTATTGCTAAGGGAAAACAATAGTTACTAAAAAAAGTCACTGGTTGCTATACAATATTCATGTAAAGTGTTTCCTTTGAAGTCAGTGAAATTCAATGGTAAATTCAATCATTGCTATAGAAAGTTAATGTTTTCTCAGGAATATGAAATCATTTGTTGCTATGGAAGTCAATGGTTGTCATGGAAAGCAAACGGTTGCTATGGAATTAAGTCATCGGTTGCTATGAGGGTCACATATTGCTATTTGAAATCACTATTTGCTATGGAAGTCAATGATTGCTGAAGAAAGTCACTGGTTGCTATGGAAGTATATGGTTCCTATGTAAATTTAATGGTTGCTATGGAAAATCAATGGTTGCTTTGGCAAATCACTGGATGCTATGGAAATTCACTTGTTGCTATGGAAGTCAATATGGAAGTCATTGGTTTCTATGAAAAGTAATTGGTAACTTTGGAAAGTCACTTATTGGTATGAAAAGTCAGTGGTTGATATGAAAGTCAATGATTGATATGGAAAGTACATGGTTGCAATATTGATCACTAGTGGAAAGTCATTGGTTCCAACGGAAAGGCACTGGTTGCTATTGAAAGTCAATTGTTGCTGTGGAAAGTAAATGGTTCCAATATTGGCCACTGGCTGCTATGGAAAGATAATCATAGTGTTGCTTTGGAAAGTAAATGTTTGCTATGACAAGTTACTAGATGCTATGGAAAGTCATTGGGTGCTAAAGAAGTCTGTGATTGCTATGGAAAGTTAATGGTTGCTATATGAGTCACTGGTTGCTATGAGAAGACAATGGATGCTATAGAAAGTCAATGGTTGCTATGGAAAATCAATATTTTCTATGGCAAGTCACTGGATGCTATGGAAAGTCATTGGGTGCTAAAGAAGTCTATGGTTGCCATCAAGTCGCTGGTTGCTATGGAAGTCAATGGTTGCTATGCATATTCACTTGTTGCTATAGATTGCTATACTAGTCAATGGTTCCTATGAAAAGTCATTGGTAGCTATTGAAAGTCAGTGTTTTATATGGAAGTCAATGGTTGCTATAGAAAGTCCATGGATGCAAATTGGTCACTGGTTGCTATGGCAATTCACTGGATGCAATGGAAAGCCATTGGGTGCTTAAGAAGTTTGTGGTTGCTATGGAAAGTAAATGGTTGCTATGTAAATCACTGGTTGTTATGGAAAGTTTATTGTTGTCATTGAAAGTCACCGGTTGCTATTGAAAGTCATCGGTTGCTTTGGAAGTCAATGGTTGCTGTAGAAGTCAATGGTTCCAATATTGGCCAAGTGTTGCTATGGCAGGTCACTGAATGCTATGTAAAGTCATTGGGTGCTAAAGACGTCTATTGTTGCTATGGATATTTTACATAATTTAAGATTACATTCCCTGTTTCTGTTTAAATCTGAAAAATTTGACACTTAAAACAATTTCTTTTTACTCTGACAGAGCAGTTATTTAATGTTTTTAAACTTCCCTCTGTAATTAACTGATGCGATTGTTTCTAATTGCCGGATGTCTTGTTTGACAGTGTTTACTAACTCTTCATGTTTAGACCACACTTCTTCACGAGAGGCTTCAGCCACCGTTTTAATCTTTTGTATTATTTTTTCTTGAAAACTGTCGATTTCATTAAGGACATTTAGTTTTTCTTCATCAAGTTCAGTAATATTGTTGCTCCTTATTTCTTTTTCCAACATCAGTCTAGACGCTCCTTTGTTCCAGTTTTATGTACCTCCGTTGTCTCTGCTTCTTCTATAGTAACGTTTTTACATGACCTAAAAAAGAACATTTTTATAACTTGAAGGATATTTTTACATCAAAAATGTCCAGTTGCACCAAATCCACCAAAAATCATAACTGAAACATTTTTTTTTTCACTCTGAACCGTAATTTATTCAAGATAAAATGCACATACAGTATACTTAATGAAATAATTATTATGAAGTATTAAAGATGTACATACCTGTGTTTGATAGATACACATATTACACAGCATATTTCATCATGGTCCTTGCAGTAACTTTCTGTCGCCTGTCCCTAGTGACCTGCACAATAAACGAGTTTTGTATTCTCATCTTCTGCGATCGTCTGATACTCAAGGTTATCCTAAACTTTGTGAGTTTTGAATAATGGGAACTTACTATGGTGTTTTAAGCATTCACCACACAGATGTGACCCACAATCAATGCAATATTTTACATCCTTTTTAAAATCACCAGTATCTGAACACAGAGGACATTGTTTAACTGGTGTTGTCTCAAACACGTTTACGTTACCCAATTCATATTTTAATATAAGTTTTTGTGACTTTAAAATAAAAATGCCGCATCTCAACGGATAGTGTGTTTATATTCAGTCAAAATTCACGTGAAGTAAAGCTTGCACAGGGCCAGAAATTCGTTAGCATGCTCCTTTGGACGTTGACTATAAATCCATAACATTGATTTACTCGAACACAGTTGGGATATGTTGATGAACACTTACCGTCCGTGAATTGTGTTTTCTGCGCCGACATGTATATACATGTATGTAATGGTACAGCTGTCGACGCTTGAACTGCTGTCTGCCCATTTCATTGTACGGTGTGATAGTGACGTAATAAAGTGAATAATAATGATGCCAAATAAAGCTTGACACTAAGTATGTTAGTATTCATCCGTAGCTGTTCTACAGAAATTAGAAACATTCTCCTGTCGCTATCGCTCCCGTCGAAGTTTCTAGTTTCTTTAGAATAGCACGGATGAACACTTGACATATACTTAGAATTTTATAAAAACAACATTTATAAATAATTACAGTAAAGGTAAAAACCTCAACCTTTCTCGCCAGTGAAATGACCGAGCGCAAAAAGGTGGTTTAATAAATAAGGAATGCGAAAACAAACACAGAAGCGATTGCGGTGAAAAAAGCGAAAATGTTTAAAAAGGGCAATAATCCAGTCGATGAGAGTGTTACTTTAGATGACTTTTACAATCATTTAAATCCCTGGACAAAAATGTGGAAGATAACGACGATAAACAAGAGTTTCTACGCGAATTTGGCAATAATGTAATTAACACAGAGGAAGTTACATTCGAGGAACTAGACATGCCAATTACGGAGAATGAATTGCATAAAGTTGTTAACTATTTGAACAGAAACAAAGCCGCTGGGTTAGACAATATGAATATTTCAAAGAGTGTATTGATATCCTTTCCGAACCGTTGTAACTAATATTCAACAAAATTCTTGACGCAGGTAGAATCCCAAGTCAGTGATCAGAGGGATTAATAATACCTATTTTGAACAAGGGCCATCAGTGATGACATTGTGTCGCCTCATGATAGCGATAACTCAGCAAAAAATCATTCAACCTATTCAACCTGTGTATTATTCACATGAATTTGAACTATCACTATCGATCAATCCTGTAAACTATCATTGAAATTGC